AACTTGACGATGTCCGGACTTCAACTCCCAGAATTCCCCAGCCAGACATCGTCAAGTTGCCAAGGTTGAGAAACAAAGGGCCTAGGGTAAGTGCTAAAAATGAAATTAAACCTATGAAAGTGTATTTACAAATCTGACAAAGTTAGCAGAATCTAAAGTTCACCAAAGGTGGCTGTTTCCTGCACTCCATGGAATGGAATGAAATGGTGAAAAGATTATTTTTCATAGTGTTCCTCTTCCTGAATCACACATCAATGCAGGGTAAGGATTGGTTTTTAATGAGGATCATGTTCACAAGAGATATTGACTCAATTTGTCAGTTTCCTATTTGATGATCATGCTGTTCAAGGTGGTGATATTTAAGCATTCCGAAATACCATTCATCTTTTTCTAACGTAGTTAATATCAAACACACACACACACACACACACACACACACACACACACACACGAGCCTTAAGGACACCCTTAATATAAGAACCAGTGAATAATAATGCAAGTTCTACAGTCTCATCTGCTCACAGGAGCCCAGGAGCAAACATCCCCTGTGTGATTCAGATTCTATATACACATTTCTGAAAATGCTCACATTTGAAACAGCAATTTTATAAGAGGCTCATATCAGCCACATGAATAAGTAAAGCATTCAGTATTAAATATGTAAGTAACACATGTATTAAAATCACTCTTCAAGCAAGGAGACACTTTGCTCTCTGCAATAATTAGAGTATTAAAATTTAGAAGTATAAGGAATATTAAAACCAAGCCCAATAAACAGTAAGAAATTCAAGCTACTACTTGAAAATTAACCATTTAGCCTTTGGTTTGGTAAAAAAATTGTAAAAGAAATTTCAGATAGTGGGTAATATTTTAATGCCTAAAGATGCATCTGTTGTTATTGTGGTTCATCACCAAATGTTCAGATTGCATTTGGCATTTTTATCTACCTACTGAGTCTTTCCCAAGAACCTGAGATGTTGATGTTTGTCCCAAGGCAGATCTTACATTTGATGGTATTAAAGATACCATTGCAGAATCTAAGCTGTTCCAAGTAAAGCTGCATTTTATAACTGATGGTGGTGTTATCAATCACAGCTAGATTGATTTGTCACACAGCCAGATCTCTTCTTTAATCTTTAATCAGAATAGAGCTGAAGGAGACCTTGGAGATCTTCTAGTCCAACCCCCTGTTCAAGCAAGAGACCCTATACCATTTAAGGCAAGTGGCTGTCCAGTCTTTTCTTAAAAACCACCAGTGATGAAGCACCTACAACTTCTGAAGGCAACTTCTGTTCCACGGGTTAATTGTCCTCACAGTTAGGAAGTTTCTCGTTAGTTCCAGGTTGCTTCTCTCCTTCATTAGTTTTCATCCATTGTTTCTTGTCCTGCTTTCTGGTGCTTTGAAAAATAAATTGATCCCCTCTTCTTTCTGGCAGCCTCTCAAATACCAGAATACTCACTCTTAGTCCTGTCACTCCTAGCCTTTCTTATCACTAAACTGGAATACTCAACTCCTGCAACTGTTCTTCATATGTTTTTTGTCTCCTGGCCCTTAATCATCTTAGTATCTCTTCTTTTCATTTTTTTTCCAAAGTTTCAACATCTTTTTTTGCAATGTGACCAAAACTAGATGTAGTATTCCAGCTCTGGTCTTACTGCATCACATGATTTTGATACTACGCCTCATTTATACAACCAAGGATTGCATTAGGTTTTTTGGATTCAGCTACACGTTGCTGGCTCATGTTTAAATGATCATCCACTAGGACTCTAAGGTCCCTCCCATAGTTACTATTTTTGAGCCAGATTTAGAATGTTTAGAATGGATTTGGCATTTTTATCCACTTATCCAGTTCTTTCCTATGGCCTGGGATAGCCAGATGTGTATTAGAACAGGGGTGTCAAACTCATCTTTCATCGAGGGCTGCATCAGAGTTTTGTTTGACCTCATGGGTTGGGGTGAGCATGGCCAGCTCAACATCACTTGTGTCAGGGCACTTGTGGTGGCAGGAGAGCTCTGCCAGTGAAAACAGGCTCCCTGTTTCTGGCTACAGCTCTCTTGCAACCCTCTGCCAGCGAAAATGGAGCTTGGGAAGGCCACGTACTACCCTCCCAAGCTCCATTTTCTCTGGCAGGGGCACCATGGGCCGGTCATTCACTGTTTCCATGGCGGTCCTGCAGGCCAGATCTAAGCACCTTGCAGACAGATGCAGGCCGCGGATTTTGAGTTTGACACCCCTGTATTAGAGGTATGATTGCAGAATGTAAGCTATTCCAAGTTAAGCTGTCTTTTGCAACTGGCTGGTTGTTACTTTATTAATGCTGATGGTATTCAACTGCTATTCCAGGTGTTTTGGGATTCAATCTAAGTGCTTATTGGTACTACCTTTGTTTTCTTTTTCTACAATTATTCTATTTCTTGGTCTTTGTATTTTGTTATCTTCTCCAGTTCTTTCTCTTCTATTCTGCTGCCTCCAGGTTGTGCCATGTCTGCTATCCAACTTTTTTGTCTTTCTTATCGACAACTATTAAGTCTGGGGTATTATGTGGCAGGTACCTGTCTGTTTGAATTCTAAAGTCCAAAAGCAATTTAGTTTCTTCATTCTTCACTTTCTCTATTTTATGGGCCCACCAGTTCTTGTTTGCAGGCAAATGAAATTTCTTGCACTGTTTTTTTTATTACTGTTATTTTACCAAAGAGTAGGCCAGTTGTAGAAAGGCATTCACTGCCTCCAGAAGTTGTGGGTCCTCCAGCACTGGGAGTTTTTAAAAAGAGATTGGACAACCATTTGTCGGAAATGGTGTAGGGTTTTCCTGCATGAGCACGGTCCTTTCTAACTCTGTTATTCTGTTATTCAACGTTCATAACCAACAACTCAGTTGCCTGTTGCCTCAATAGGAGTTCTAGTATCCCGCTAACATTAAAAGGAAGATTTAAAAAAAAAACTATGGAAAGCAGCCTAATTTTGTTTGACCAACAAGATGAAAAACAAAAGCAGGTAAATAAATTGCAAGCAGCAAAAGGCAACTTGCCCTTTTCCGGAATCAAAAGGGAACTCTGTTTTCTGAAAGGCAAACAAACACTATGCATACTAAACTAGATGCATTGGGCACACATCCCAAGTCAAACATTTTAATATTCCATGTGTTCCAAAAGGAGCTTTGAGGAACCACAAGGAATAGATTTAAATGAAAGTGTTCCATTACCAGTATGCAGAAATGGATTTTTAAAATATCCAATTAAGGAGTCCATTATCAAACTGAAAGCATTTAGGTTATACTGAAGGAAATAAAATGTTCACTGGAAAAATCATAACTTATTCCTGGAGAGTGCTTATTTTTAATCTATGTGGGCAGTATATTAGAATTGCTCCTAACATGATTGCATACGTATTTTGCATTGAATACAGATATATTGCATTGGATCTAATAATGATTAATTATTTTGGAGTTTAAAGTAAATTATTGGACATTTTATACGGTGCCTAAAATTATTGCAAATCACAGTCATAATCCTTATACCATTCTGGACAAATGGTTGTCCAATCTTCTTTTTTTTTTTAATCCAGCAATGTTGGAGCACCCACAACTTCAGGAGATAAACTGTTTCATTGTTTAATAGCTCTCGCAGTCAGAAAAACTGTCCTTAATTCACATTTATTCACTATTCATTGTAAAATTTGCACCCCTGTTCTTGTCTTACTTTCAGATGCTAAGTATTTGAATCTACTCCCTCTTCCCTGAGACACCCTTCTGACATTCCTCAAACAAATCTGAACACACAGAAAAAAGGGGGATATAAATGCAAATATATATACCATATATGTCTCTGTGTGTGTGTGTGTGTGTGTGTGTGTGTGTCTGTGTGTGTGTGTGTGTGTCTGTGTGTGTGTTGACTGTGTGTGTGTTGACTGAAAGCCAGTAACCCAGGTTCGAGACCCAAGTGCCACGTGAAGGGGTGAGTTCCTGTCCTTGCCCTAGCTCCTGCAATTCAAAATCATGCAAATGTAAGTAGATAAATAGCTACCACTTTGCTGGGAAGGTAACAGCACTCCATGACATCATCCTGGACACATGACCACAGAAATGTCTTCAGACAGCACTGGCTCAATGGCCTTGAAATGAAGATGAGCAGCAGTACCTCCATAGTCAGCAATGATTAGCAGAGTAAGACTCCTTTATCTTTTTTACCTACCTTAAAGGAAAACTAGTTTTCCAAAAAGAAATCTATCTTTAAACATGATCATCCTGGGTATACTAACAATATAGTAATATAGAAAACAAATGATTTTAATAATATTTATAAATATAGAAATTAAAGCAAAATTAAAACCATTTGTTTTCTATATTGTTATATTACTAGTATATATATTATATATATATATGGTATATATATATATATTTCATTAAAATATTTCATAAAACATATCTGCTAACTTTTTGATAGTGTTGGCGCCAAAACCATGCGTGGAAACTCTTCATTAATTAAGAAATTTTATACAATTTCACTCTAACGGAGCCATTAAAATTCTTGAGAATGATCTTGTACGAATTTTTGTACCAATTGTTGTCAATCCTTCTGAGTTTGAAGGTCATCAAAACAGGCTTTCCTGTACTAAAAGACTTCGCGCTAAAGAGCTTCACAGAGATTGAACTAATAGTAATTTGAGAAGTTGCCTTTTGAATATATATATCTGTCAAATCCAATATCCATCCTGTCAGCACATGTAAGGCAAAATCTTGGACTGCCAGTGACTTCATTAACACATACATGTAGATCTTGACAACAATATGGAAGTGGTTTGTCTTGCCCATTTTGTGGATTTTTTTTTTTTACTTTTCCAACCAGCCTATAGCCCTGAGATTTCTGATTACACCCCATTCAAGAAGTAATCAGGCTTTACCTTGCTTCTCTTTTTTTCAAGATCACATAGGTTTTGCCACCTGAACTATTGAATATGTATGAGTACATTTCTTTAAGTTAACATTTTAACACTTACGCATTGCAGTAAGGCTTCTTTTCATATCCTTTGTAGTTGTTCATATTTAGAGCCATTTTGCAGACCTCACAATGGAAACATCCCTTGTGCCAGTACTGAAAGAAAATTTGCATGGTTATAAGTGGTATCATTGCCAATATAGTATTTATGCAATGAGTGGAGGTGCTCCTTTTAAGATCTATTAGTTTTCAGGGCTATAACTGAGTAATTTTGGAATCTAGATTTAATGGTCTTACAAAATAGGGCCTTTAAATGTATGTGATTTCAAAGTGTGGCAAAACATCCTATTACACAATGGATCACCTGCTCATCCTGCTTGACTGGGTCCTAGGATTCTTCCCCTGATACTTCTCAGCAATAGAGAATTTACTTCTTTTGCTGATTTTACAATTTACAAATGCCACTCATTCTCCTGCAGCATTTTCATTCATGTTGCTGTTGACATACGGTAGCTTGTGATAATGCTGCAAAGCATTTTCAAGTATTTGGAGCATTTGTGAACCGAAGTCAACAAAGTCATAATGGACTGAAGTTTTGCTTCTAACTCCCGACACATTGTTTTTTCACTGGCTCCTTCTGTATTCTTGCTCCAATGTACTCACAGAAAGAAGGAAATATTTTGTGAAGGCCAGGATTAAATTGACCCAAATACCACTATTTCCTTTTGCTTATTAAAACTTCCTGTAGAGTTTCTTGAAAGTGGCCAAAGATATAAAGTCTCCTCCCAAAATAATACTATGCCTTTAATCTAGTAACTATCAGTTCTTTGTGTCTTTAATCTGCCTTCTTAAATATTGACTACTGACTGAGCATTTTGCTACTACATTAGTCAAGCCTAGTGTGACAGATATCTTACTAAAAAAAATTTAAAACATCACATTATCAGGCCCCTTACTACATCACATCCTTCTTTTATAGCCTATCCTATATCATTATTATATGTAGTTTGACTTTAAGGGTTGTTTTTCTCCCTTATTCCAGAAAACATTGTTCCTGTTATTTTGAGTAACAGAAGGACAGGAGATTAAAATACATACTTTCTCAAGGCCCATCCCAAACTGAAAACATCAACGCCACCCACTTAAGTGTGTATTTACAGAAACCCACCCTAATGCCGACCAAAAATATGTTTATTCCTCGTTGGGGAGGGCGGAGGCATCTTTGTCACAGCCTCACTATTTGCGGTTTCCTTCAGACAATCGCACGTTTGTGATCCCCAGCGGGCTAAGCAGAAATCATTTCGCCGAGAAGGGCAGGCTCGGGAGGTGATGTACTCCTTGCCCCCTCGCGAAGCTTTGCCCACAGAAGCCGGCGGGCGGGCGGCATTACGTAACAGCTGCCGCCGAAGAAGCCCCTTCTGCATTGCAGCGCTGGAGGCGAGGAAGCAGTTCGAGTCCCAGATGAGGGACTCACCTTTAGGACTTAGGGAGGTCGAGGGGGGGGGGGCAGCACGGCGTTCGCGTGGAAGAAGGGGAGGAGGCCTTGTCTCCTCACTCTCTCTGAAGCCTATCCAGACGAGCCGGTTTGGGGGATGAGGGGCCTGAAGGAGACTCTTTGGAGCCTGACAGGGAAGACCAAGCTCGGCACAGTCCTTCGCCTCCTCCCGCAGGCAGGGCTAGCAATGCGTCAGCCGCAGGGTGACAAGTTCATTACTGAAGCAAGCGCCACTGCGATACTGGGTAGGGGAGGAGGCGCAGGGGCTGCCAAAGCGGCTTGCTCGTCGGCTTGCTCTCCCGTCTTCAGCGCTTCCGCTCATCCCCGCTCCCGCCGCAGCCCAGTTCCCAAAAGCAGAGAAAAAAGCCAAGCCCGCGCCGTGCTCTTCAGCACCGGACCTCCTCGCGAGCCTCCTGGCCCGAAAGGCGCACAGGCTTCTCTCTCCCTCCATCCGCCCTTCCCGGAACCGCCGCGCAACCACTAGGTTCGACCACCTCTTCCCTCCCCACCCTCCGCTTCTCTTTGGAGAGCTCGAAACCAACACTTTTGCCCGCGCATAAACTGCACGGCTGACATCGGGAGAAGGCGGGGGGGGGGATGAAATGGCAGTGACGGGAGCTGCTACCTAAGACAGGTGACAGGTGTCCGGTAGGAAAGGCTCTTCCCAGCCTCCGCACATAATTGCAAATAACATTCCTCTTAAGTTCAACGTCGCCCACCCCAAAAAATGCTCCCCCTCAAAAAGAAACGAGGGCCTCCAAAATGTCCCAGTTTGGAGTCCTTCTACTTCTGCACACGTAAAATCCGAGACGATGCCGGAGGCAGAGGGAAGGGAACGAAGCCATCCCGAAGCAGTCCCTCGCCCATCCCTCCTCCCGCATGCCCGCTGGGTTCCCTTCCACCTTTCCCGGCCGCCCCTCGCCCCAAGCAGCAGCTGGCCCGGCCACCTGGCGCGCGCGCACACCTTATCCAGGCAGTTGACTTTCTCGGTCGGGTAGACGACTTTGCCACAGCGGGCGCATTGAGGGTTCATGATCAGCCTCCCCGCTAAGCGTCCTGGCGGAAAGGGCCACCCAGGAGGTCAGGGGCATGCCTTGCCCGCCGTAAGCGAAGGTGACTTGCCAGGGGGCAGCCTGCGGACTAAGTGGAAGGTCAGCGGCCGAGAATGCGCGGCTCTTCCAGCTGGCGGCGGCGGTGGTGGCGGCTCGGCAGCATGTGCGAGCGAGTGGGAGGGGAACTTCTGCCTGGAGCCGCCTGCGCCAGCCTCCGCCTCGTGCCTGCGCGCTCGGCTCCCCCGCAAAGTGAGTTCCGCACTGAAGGGTCGGGCGCTCAAGTCGGGCGCCTCCCTTCTCCAGGCCTCCAACTGAGGAGTCATGGGGCCTAGCCTGGCAGGTAAGTGGGTGCCAGCAAGAGAAGGTGTGCCCTTTTTTTAGATAAAGTTTTATTCTTGGGGGGGGGGCACACAAATACATTGTGAAAGACAGCAAAATGCAAAGTAAGCCATTCACTCTTTATAAAAACACAGCCATTGTTCACATTCATGCTAGAAGCATGAAAAGTATTGGGTTAACTGCTTACAATAAACATAATCATCAGTCCATAGACATAAGCCCCAGAATAAGATACTGTATAGAATAGAAAGATAAGGAAACAAATATGCAGTGGTGAAGGGATTGGATTGGCTCAGAGTAATCAGCTTTAAGAGGATGGACGTTCATGCTGATTTGGGGCAAGTTCTCTTTCAGCTCAACCCAATACAGAGGGCAGTGGGGAAAAATGGGAGAACTATAAAAGCCATCTTGAGCTGCTGAATGAAAAATTGGTTATAAATCTAGCCAAAAACACAGAAGCATCAGAATGAGCAAATCTGCATATAGTTCAAAATCATTGGGCAAATAAATCGTGAACTTTATGTTCAATCTGCCACAGAATTTGAAGAAGTAAAGGGCATTGATTAACCTACTAAAAGCTAAGGGTTGGGTTTTTTTTCCCAAGTAGCCTGCAATTCTACATAAAGAGTATATTCACTGAATTCATGGACATGAGAAACAGCTATTGTTTCCAATAACTCTGACATTCTATTCTGATTTGGGTTTTATGGGCTTTGTCCAACCCACTTCCTGTTAAAGCATCACTCTAGCTCCTGTGCAGCTTCACCTGATTTTCTCAGCACAGAGACATAGCAAAATGCCCTCAGAGCTTCAGCCCAAGTGTTCCAACCCAGCCTTAGCCGACTCAAGAAAAAGACTCCTTATCGCAAAAACCCCCTCTTTATTTATCTCTATGACTTAATTGCATTCACCAACGGAAAAGTCCAGGCAATAGTCCTTCAAAGAGTTAACTGCAGTAACAGACCTTATCAGTTTCTTGCCAGCTGCAAATTAAGTTCTGGCAAGCAGTCTCTGAGGCACAAAACACAATGAAACAAATCTTCAGAAATCAGAACTGTTGTCTCCTACGACAACCACTCTCTTTTCCTTCTATTTATTCCCCAGCCAGGGAGTGGCCATTCAGTGTCCATGTGTGCTTTGCTTCCCAAGCTGACTCCTTGTCCTCCATTATTCACCTCTCCTAACAACTCTGCACATCTGGAACATGCCCCAGCTGTTCTTTCTCCTCACTCATCAGCCTCCAAATGAAGCTGCCTCTCCAGTGGCTGGAAAATGTTGGCTGGAAAATGCTGGTTGTATCTCTGTGTTTGATGCACAGCATCCATCAGAGCCTTCCCCAGACTCCAGAACTGGCCCAAGTTCCTTCCCAACCTCTTCATAGTTCGAGTCCGCCACCAGCTCCGTTGGCAGCTGGCAGGTCACAACACCAAGCTTCCTCATGATCTCATTTATTTGGAGCAACCCAGCTCTATGCAATTACAAATTTTCATTTGCAGATCCCAGGACTTCTAGGTCCATATTACCAAAATGTCATTGAATGACAGTAGCTGAATATCCTAGCAAATTTAGGCAGGAAAGCAAATCAATGCATTAATTTGCTGGATATGCTAAGTGCTGCTTAAACTGCACAAAGTGTTTTAAAATAGACCAAAAATATGCTGGCATATTTTTATGTGATATATTTGCGTCTGTGCTCTGCCGCCTGTGATCCCAGTCAGGGAAATGATTGCAGGCTCCAGCTGATAACACTTAAAACACGGGGAATATAATGAGATCTTTCAGGAACCTATAGCATAAATAGCATGGAATCAAGACCAACCTCATTTTCACTGCCACACATTGCCATGTAACTAAGTCCTGGGGGTTGTTCAGTGAATCTAGTTTCCCCAATGACTTTGCATGTTGGAAGCTGGCTGAGAAGATTATGATCACATGACCCCAGGATGCATCCTTTGTAAATGTATGTCAAATACCAAGTACCCAAATTTTGATCATTTGAGCACACAGATGCTGTGATGGTCACAACTGAGGGGACCAGTCACAAGTCACTCTTTTCCACATCATTGTGATTTCTAATGGTCACTAAACAAATGATCCTAAACTGAAGAAGCTATATGTACTGTAGAGAATTGTGTGTGTTTATATGAAACATGCCCTTTTCGTATAAGTTCCTAGTATTTCTCACCAGATGCTGCTAAGTTAGTATATTGGACTTGGCTGTTGACTTATGCTGTACCTCAGTAATATAGGCTGTACAGCGAACACTGGTGTAGTTATTTTTAATTTACTTTTTTATTCCATGGGAATTGATTTGAAATGAATTTATGGCTTGAGGGTTTGCACTGTTTCAAAGATGTGCTGAGACCCAGAAATTCCTGCAGAAGTATAAAGAAAGGTAAAAGACTTTGACAACTACTGTAAAGATTGCCTCTGCTCTTGGTGACTTCATGGATGCATCCTTGCAGTTCCCTTAGCAACAGTGTGGAAATTGTGTATCACTGTTTCTTTTCCAGTCAAGTTTTTTTTTTTACTTTGTAATGTCTTATAGCCCTGGGATTAGCTGGTAGTTTTCCAAGTATAGACTTCGTTTGGCTTTCAAGCTTTGATATGATTGGCGAGATTTTGAGATTGTACAGGTACGAAGATTAAGATATCCCTAAATTGAGTTTATGTAATGATTTAATTGACATGGATTTTCTTAGTAAAATTATGGCCACTGCCCTTCTCCTTCCATGATATTTGTTTTTAAATTTCCTGGTTTATATTGATAAGATTTTCTGATTCTGTCATATATACAGACTGACTATATTCAAAGCAACTTAGTGTTTCAAGAGCAACCAAAGTTAGCTAGGTGCAAGAGTTCTCTTTAATTCTCCCTCATTTTCCCACACCTTCATTCTTATCTTGCTGGCTACTCCACCATTCAACTAGCATATCTTTTCCTGTAAAACCAAAAATCCAGCAAAGGGTTTTACCAATTGACTAAAGTTCCTTTTTTGCAGGCAATACATTTTAGATTCCACTTGCATAACAAGTTTTCATCATGTGCAGTGACTCCTCAACCAGCAAACCTTAAAGATAAAATTGCTATGTTACACGAGACAGGTGTATTTCCTAATATGAAAGCAGCAACCTTAATTATTAGTATTTGCTATGTGAGAACATTATTGTGAATACTACAGGTCTAAATGCTGCATTAGCGTTAAATCCCATTAGTCCGGCAGAAAGCATAAGGTTGTCCTGTTTAAATCATTTCCCAATTTTCCAAGTCACTGAAGCAATGGAGTTATTGTATAGTGTGAAGATTAAATTGCCTGCTATATTTCCATTTGTGATAACGAAGTGACTGAATTGGTTGCACGTTATTTGCAAACTTCCTATTACATTGTTTCATCTTTTCTTCAAATCCCTTGGAGTTATTAAAATGTCTAATGTTTCTAGTGCTGTTGTTGTTTTAATTACCACAACTACTGAACTGAAATATTTTTGACCTAAGCATATTTATCAGTAAATAAGGGGAACCTCATTAAACTTCTGGGGTTTACTTTTTAGGTACCAAAGATTTTTCCATTTGAACCTCATGATATACCATGAAAATAAAATGCTCTTAATTCAGATGTGCTTGAATACTTTTTCATATGTACTTCTGTATTTGCATTTGCTAATCATAGTGTAGTAATAAATTCAGCTTTACCAGCAAGCACAACTGCTGTTACCAGGGATCAGATGCAATGCTAGAACAAATTGCTTGCTATTACTCATATAAATCAGCTGAGGTGAAAACTAAAGACAAAATTAGTACTTTCTATTCAGTAACCACAAAAACTATGGGAAAGATCATTTCTCTTTCAAATTGTTCATGTCTGCATACTACATAATGTACCATAATGTACCATGTAACCATTAACAAATGGTTAATTTGTTATTTTTGATCAAAGAAAGTGCAGAATATAGCCTATTATTTTTCAGTAAGGTATACAGAACCTTACTGCTAGTTGACTTAGTTCTTTATCCCATAATTTAAATTAACTTACACTAGTGATCCAGACTTCAAAAAAACGTTCATTCTGAGCTTATGTTTATAAAATATTTATTGTGGTTAGATGATCAGTTTATCTTGTTTGGTGTAATGTGATGTTTTTTATCAGCAGATTTGTTTATTCAAAGCATCACTAATTCCTTGAACTATATACTGAAGATGGATTCCTTTAAAATGCCAGTGATATTTATTCATAGGACTATATACTTTGATGTTTGCAACACTGATTTCTAGAAGTCCCTCACTCTCATTCTCACACACTTACACACACAGACACACACAGACACACACACACACACACACACCCCTCACACAAATTTGTTGGGATTGATATCCTAACAGGCCATCTGTCTGAGGGAACTCGAAGCAAGTGTCATAAACCAAAGGAAGCAAAAGGACCAAAATGTTAATTGATAAGGCGGAGAAATAAACAAACAAGAATGTCATCTCCAAGGTAGTTCCATTTGTCCCATAAGCCAAAGACAGATGACTCTGGAAAAATGTAGATTGACAAATTGACCATTTCTGAAATACAGCAATACATTATAGCAGCCCTTCAGGAGCCTGTGTGACAAGTCACACAAAACAAGCAACAAAACTGAGAACAATGACAGGAACTACCAAAAAGTACTCACCGGTACTCACAGACCATTGACATAGCTGAATTCATAATCTGGGTCTTCGAGTAACAAAGATCAAGAGAGCTCTTTCTTAAACACAATAGCATCTACAAGGGTGAGTATGTTGTGGTCAAATTCATTCCACTTCTTTATGTCTGGAAGTGCTGGCAATGCTCAAAGGGGGTCTTTGATCATGGTG